CTGGTACTCCTTCATGTACTGGGAGGACCTGGCCTCATCCAGAAAGAGCGAGTAAACCCTCTTGATGTCCTCCACCTGGACCTCCGTCCCCTGAGGAAAACAAGAGGCGGCCATGACCAAAGAGCTCACGTGTGATTTAGCAACGCAAACCGATGAGGATCATTTCCTCTCGCTTCCGCCGAGCCTACCTTGCGTTTGCGACACACCAGCCCGGCCGTGCTGATCAGCTGGATGGCGTAGCGCAGAGACGTCTCCATGCCGATCCGAGTGAGGACCGTGTGGGCCTCCTCGCTCAGCTCCACGTCCTCTTCTTCGCACCTGAAAACAGGAAAAACACTCGGGTTCCACGTCGGATTCTCATCGAAACGATCTCTGCAAGCGGATGGCCGGGTGAAGAACCCTCACCGGATCTTTAGGATCTGCCTCGTCTCTTTTTCTGTGTAAGGCGAGGTGGCGATGATGAGCAGCCGGTCCAGGAGGTCGATGGGAATGCCGTGAGGACTCTGGTAGTTTGTTCCACGGATTCTGCGTGAAGGTTAAAAGTCAGTGTAGGTTCACTTTTTCGTAAACTCTACGCGTTTTTTTTTCTTTTCTTTTTTTTCCCTTGGGTTTGTGTCAACAGTACCTAGTGATGCCTCTGTTGGTCGCCATGATGAGAACTGGGGACAGGTCGCTCTCCAGTGCGCGGTTCAGGAAGGAGAAGCACTCCATGTCCAGCATGTGGACCTCGTCGATAAACAACACCTGAACAGACGGGGGGACGTTTAGCTTAACCGTGTTAAGCGCAAGCAGAGGAAGAACATTCAAGGGACACACTTACCCCGGGAATAATCTCCGCCTTTCCCTCTTCCCTCCACTCACACACTTTGGCGTTAATCTGCTCGCGGACCTCGGACTTGATCTCTCCCGTGTCTCCGGAGAAGAGAGCCAGGAAGCCTTGCGTGCGGCTGTTGATGACGTCGATCTCGTGGAGAGACACTGTGTGCACCACCTCCTTCCTCTTCTGCAGCTCTCCCTCGGGACACTGGACAAACTTTGTCTGCGAAAACAAAGAAAACTGACTTTTATATCCCAACATTTGTGGAACTAATAATTTCGGAGGTGTCTTTACCACCTGTATCAGGGTATCAGCACACAAGGCCAAATTTATGATTTTAAGACTTTTTTTTAATGTCAACTTGAATGAAATTTAAAACCGAATAAGCTATAAATGTAGGGCAAAGGTGGAGGATCCAGCCAACTTGTGTGGCTTGGCAAGAGAAGTGAGTCAGTGGCAAAAATGAACGTTGTCCCAACGACTGGTGATAGATTTGCACTGACTTACCCAAGAGAGACGCAGAAAAAAAAAAAAAGCTTGCTGTCAAGGTTATCTAAACAGCTAAGTGCCGACCTCCTCCAGTCATACAATGCAATGAAAATGTTTGCATGCACTTGCCTTACAGAGACTTCAGTGGAGCATACCTGAGCTCCCATAGCATCGTAGTCTCTGGCTCTAGTGAAAGAGCGTCCCAACTTGGTGATCTTGCCAGTGGCTTTGTCAATGGTGATGACATCTCTAGGAAGAGAGGAGGGGAACAGAAACACAGAACATTTGTGTGTTTTAGCTGAGTGTGTGTTATATTAGAATCCTGGACAACAAAAAACACAAAATAGAAACTTACCCAGCTTGTACTTTCTCTTTGCTTAGACTGTCAATCATCTTGTTACCCAAATCATATATAGTCTCCATTTCAGTAGTCTTTAGCGTCAGCTTGCCCACTTTTGCACCCTGATCAAAACATGTCAACCTTCAGTCATTTTTGGTTTTTAATCATCCTTACACACATCATGCACACCTTCTAACATCTCAAATACATAGGGCACTATGAAATACATTATATTATTTTTCAAATTTAGGTTTTGTCTTTAATAAAATTCTACTTTTTCCATTTTTATTTTTTTGAATTCTGTTTTTTTCAGTTTTAATCATATTATTTCACTGATAACCAGTCTATTCTGTCTTTGACAGGCAGAGGGGAGCCCTGAAAAACCAGGTAGCAGCAAGGTACTGGAACTGCAAATACTTCAGAAACAACTGAATATTCTTTCCTTCTCGCCAATATTAACTAATTCCATAATAAAATACAGTGTGTGAATTTAGAAAATAATGAAAAAGCAGCTCACCGTTCCAGTGGCAGGTCTATCAATCTGGATCTCCACCACCTCTCCCTCAATGATCTCCGTCTCCTCCCTGGCGATAAACAACTGTGCTTAACTCATTTCATTCAGAAACGATACTGCTCACAGATCTGTTACTGTAGCGATTCCCTCACTTGATTCTCACTCCGATTGCCTTTCTAAAAGCTTGGCTTAGTGCCTCCGTCTTGCTCATTTCCAGGGAGAAGATCTCACTCCCGGCCAGAGCTGTGAAGGGCGTGTCGGATCCCAGCGACTGTGCTATTCCTACAAAGCAGGACAAATACAGTCGATATGGAACGAAAATGCAACCCGAGCAAATTACATCAATGCAAGTGGAAAATACCACTTTCTCTAAAGGAAGGTGCTGCATGCTGGAAAGCCGCCAGTGGACTTCTTACCCATAGCGATGGCAGTTTTTCCTGTGCCAGGTTGGCCGGCGATCAGTACCGCCCTGCCAGCAATGTGGCCGTCTTTAATCATCTCCAGGATGACCCCTGCTGCACGACGGGCGGCCAGCTGGCCGACCAGCCCCTGAGACACCTGCAGGTGGACAGTAGCGGGTCACCTTCAGCACAAACTCAGCACATTTTAATACATTTTAATATCACTTGAAGAAAATTTTAAAACCAACTTCACATTAAAACACACACAAAAAAACACTAAGGTTAGCGATAATTTCGGGATTTATTCATTTTTGTTCGAATGTTAATGTTTCAAATTTTGAAACTAATTTTAAAAGACAGATTTAAGACATTTTAATACCAAATAACGCTTTTATATATTTTTAGATCCATGAACTCAATGCCTTTAAAGACATTTTAATGATCAACAGGTACCCTTAAAGTAATTAGTGATTATATGTTATATGAACAAATACAATACCTAAGGGACCACAGGCAAAAAAATTCACCTAACTTTACTACAAAAAAACAAAACGATCAAAACGGCTTAAAGTCGAGAATTTGATTAGGAGCAGCTTCCTGAACGGCAGAAAACAATCTTAACCAATCAGAGCCTATGAAAAGCAACACATAGGCTGTATATGAAAATGGTTTTGGTAAAAATCATCTTGTAAAAATAAAGAAAGAAGAAGAAAAAAAAAACAGCTCCTCCCTTCAGAGTTTAAAGAGAAAGTCCAATCAATCCAAAACTCAAGGCTCTATCCTACCTGTCTAGGCTCCAAAGCATCATCCAGTCCCAGGCCGCGGATGTGAGAATGAGCCCCTAGAACACATGGTGACGAGAGAGAGGATGTCAGCTACACATGGAAGGGTAGATTAGATTAAGAGCGCAAAGTAAATCTGGATTCCTACCGATTCGCTCAATCCGTGTGATGTCACGAACCTCTGGAACCTTTGTAGCCGCCATCTACAACAGCGGAAAAATCGGGAAAGAGATTAAATACAGCAAAGTTTAAAAATAATCACATTTAGACCTGTAGAGTGATAATCACGTTGTTCTAAATTTAAAAAAATATGAACCCATTTAGAGGGGATGGTTGATATTTTATATACCGTTTATCTTACAGAGAGTAATCTTTACCAGCCAGAGAGAGAATTATAATCACAGCTTACAGTAATTAGTTATAAAGGATTTAATAAATTACAGTTACTTTAAAAAAAAGATTGTTACCAATATCTGGGCAGGAATAAGCACATATAATTCTAATAGCAGCTAATACTGTGTTAGCAAAACAGACTTTTTTCGTCAACTGTTTCTTCACAGAATAGCTCGAGTTATGCCAGTTTGGATGGAGTGTCGGTGAACATCAATTTTCAAGTTTTGTCACAGATTATCCATTGGATTTAGATCTCCAGACTGTCCCACAGCAAGAGTCTTCAGTCAGAGGCTTCTTCAGATTCACTGCAAGACTGACTGCTACAGGAGATCCTTCCTTCACCACCCACAACTCTTTAAAGATACTTGGATGATACCAGTTGCAACACTGAATTGCTCTTTGAGATGAATAAAGTATTTTTGAATTTGAAATTAACTGTAGTTCTGGCTTTATGGTGAGGTTTGTTATGTTTCAAAGTCTAATGGAATAGAAGAGACAAAGATTGCTATTCAACTTGCAAGCATTCTTACTCACCAGGAAGCCGCATTGACAATTAAAATCACAACACGTCACAATACAAATACTAAATTATCAATAAAAAACAGAGTACGCTGTCAAAAATTCAAGAATGCGTTAGAAAGGTTTGTTGTGGTCCGTTGGTTGTCATAGAGACAGTTGTAACTCATGCTGCAAGAGTCTCAACCCGTAACAAACATGAAACATTTTATTTGATCTATTTAGTTTTGAGAGATAAACAATTGAAAGTTGGCGGAGGAATATAATTGGTTCAACTCTAAAGACGTGCTAAAGAGCTGCGTTCACTCTTCAGATGAGTATTTGGGACTGGAATAAATACACCCGATGCTAACGGTAGCTAATGTTATGCTAGCGAATTAGCTTACTCCATTCATAGCTTTCTATAAAAGTAAAATGCCACAACGTAGTAAAATAAGGACCTCTCACAGGCCCTCGTAACAAATCTTTCACTTTTTGTACACATGCAACTATATTCGTGTATAAAAAAGTAAAAATAATAAGACAAACTATTCTACCGGTTTACAGTAAAACGTGTAGACTCACCTCCACAACCACACTAAATGTGCGAATGCAGCGGCGCTTTTTCGGAAGATGCACCGCCTTAATGTGTCCGGAGAGAAACAAGTTTTCATTTTCAATTCCTATACGTTTTACAGCGTTGCCCTCTCTACAGACGGACGTGGTGAGAAATACTAGAAGGGAAACTGAGAACAACGCACTTATTCTCCCAAAAACTTCTTTTTAAGGTAGGCGCTCTACAAATTTTTAATTATATGTATGAATAACTCCGTGAAATATGAATTGGACTCGGACCATTGTAATAGGAATTCCATATTTGAAATATTTCTCTTCACCTCCAGACTTATTTAAAAAAAAAAAAAAACTCTACCGCTAATAATGTATTAAGCTTTTAAGCATCAGTTTCCTACCGCTCGATGCTGGTTGCGTTAATTTATTTTTTATTTGTTTGACAATTCTTTGTATAACGCCACACACATAGAAGTGTCAAACCCATATCAAACAGTTAATGTTGCTTTTCCTTATAAATCTAACTAGATTTTAGTTTTGTTTCGCCGTACAATGTAGCTACAATATAATTCCACATTTTCTATGTTATTATCCGGAGTGGTTAAAGTTATTTGTTTTTAATCTGATTATGTAATGGAGATTACACGTTCCCCTCTACCACCCAGCCATGGATATTAGAAAACAAATATTTCTGTGTGGAGACCAGGCGGGTGGGGTGATTGCATGGCACAGGAAGGAAGGAAGACTGTCGCAGCTAATCCCACTGAAGGTCTGCATGTTTCTAAAGGCACATTTGCAGTGCTTTACTTTTGTCCAGAGAATCTTGAATGGATCCCAACAGTCTGATGGAAAAGTAAAACTCTGCATGCAGTGCTGTACACGTCTCCACCAGAGGTTGCAAGACTCAAGGGTTAAATGCATATGAAAGGAACCTGCCTCTCAAAGATAGTACATCATCCACAAACTTAAAGTTTTTGGGGGAGTTATTAACACAACTTTTGTAGTGAAAAGAAAAAAAATGTTGTTTTGCAAATTTTTTTGCCACAAAAAATCTGAAAAATGTGGCATTGTGTGCTGCCGATTGCTTCCAGAAGTCTCTTAAAACAGAATCCACCTATATGCCTCCAAGCACAGCACACTGGTCAGGGATACGATTGTGGGAGAATTTGAAGTGGGAGTAGGCTATTAAATAATATCTAATGCTCCAAGTATGTCATAGATTGCTGTTCAGTCCTTCACTTCAAAAATTAAACAGACCTTAAAATTAAACTACAAACCTTACGAAATATGTCAGCTACGGTTCAGAAGTCCTCACTGTTTTTTATCTGTACATATCTCTGTTGTGTAACATTTAACCCAACATTTCATCCCTCACAAAAATGTGGAAAACCTTAATTTAAGGAAGCAGATAAATTGAGAATGCAATATTAAAGCAAACTTCATATCCTGACTAAAATCTAGAGCAAAGTTTTCATATCCTTCCTATGATGTGTTTTCAAAGTCAGCCCCTTAAGGCTCAGGTTGCAGAATTCCACAATTACTTGTTTTTAGCATGATGCCAAGAGGATGCAGGACTTTGCATGAAAAAATAGCTGTGAAATACTAATTTAACTAGAGATTTCACAATCACTATCTTAAAAAGTAGGAGAAAAATACGTGTAAGTCATGCACTTCTTAGAGCCTTTCTGTTACTCATCACCTGTTTCTGTACAGTTCTCAACAAACCTCTTAACGGGAAACAAAACCAACATCGCCATCCACACAGAAACTTGTTATACACATTCAGTGAGTCTACAAAAGTGTTTGTCTTATCGTTAACCTTCTTAACAATAAAGTAGATGATAAAGCTTTTGTTTGGAATTATGGTTGCAAATAAATATTTAATGTTAAGACATGTTGTGTATGGTTTGAAGAAAGCAGCCTTCAGAAACTGAGGACCTACAGCTTTGGCAGTAGTTATCCTAACAAAGTGACAGAGTTTAAAATTGAGACAATGACATCACACCTTTTGTGTTAAATGTTTATTGATAAAAATAAGTTTAATATGAAATTATAACATACATCAGTCAAGGACTGTATATTTTTGGAGTTACTCTATAAGTGCTTTCCCTCTAACATTTGTTCATATTAAGTAAAAAAAATAAAAATCACATCCATCATAACAGCTTCCCTTTGACCAACACACATTTCTCAATGTAAAAAAAAAGGAAATATATATTTGTAAAACACACACATGTGTATAAAAAGTAACAACAGATGATTATTCAGTGATTCTTGGATGGATTTTATTAAATCACAGCTAAACGAGGGTGACTGCAGAATCGTACCAAACCCAAAACCCTGGATAGACAGGCTCGCTGAAGGAGGTCTTGAAGCGGTGGAGGAGGGACATGGTCTCCCTGACGGTGTAGAACGAGAGCGTGCCCCCGTCGTAATCCAGGAAGACCCCGATGCGGGAGGAGTAAGGCGCGTTGATCTCCGTCTGGTCCTTGTTGTGGCGGGCCGAGTAGCTGGAGTCGGAGCAGAACAGGCTCCATGACTTGCGGTTGTAGCCGATGCGGCAGCTGTCTCCATAGCCCGCCCTCTTGATGCCTTTGTAGGTGACTCCAAGGGCGACGCCCTCACCACTCCAGTCTACCTCCCAGTAGTAGGCGCCTCCGGCGAGGTTCTCCTTACAGAGGACCTGGGGCAAGGAGTCGAACCTGGAGGGGTTGTCTCCGTAATCTTGGGGGTCTCTCTTGAGAGCGGCCTTTTTATTCCCTCGAGACAAGTAGAGCTGTCTGTAGGCTGTGTTTGGGTCCAGAGTGAGCTGGCAAGCATCTAAGTGATTAAAAACAAACATTCACTTAGTAAGTGAAATCGTTTAACTTAAATTGCTTGGGGTTAAATATAAATGAGCAAACCAAAGTAAGCTTGAGGAATCCCTCACCAGTGCACCGCTAACTGTAATGTCCCAGAGGTTAGCAGAATCTAATTAGCATTTCCACCTCTGTTAGATGTTTAACAGAGGTGGAGCATGCTTTGCAGGGGGAAAAAAAGCAGGAGACCCTCTGGCTGGACACACACAGAAACAGAAAAATCCCAGTGGTAAGATGTCACCTGCCTGCTGTGTACCTCCACCTCTGCAGGTCACAGTTGGTGGGACACCCGGTGGCCTCGCCTAGATCGGTCCGGCCTTTGATCTGGAATGCCAGAAGTAATGATACCGTTTGTGAGATTGATCACAAACAGAGGTTCGCTAAACAAAGACCATCTAAGAGATCACAGACCAAGGACCTGCAAGTCTCCAAGTCAGTCTTAAAAGAGCTGGTTTACCCAAGCTTCTGAATGCCACGCTTCTAACTTCGATCAAAAGAATCAAAGTGGAACAGGGAGGGGCTCTGAAACTGAAACTCAGGTGAAAATCACACACCTCCTACAGCACTAGCATGCAAAAAAATATTTGCAAGGAATCTGCCCCAGTCTCTGTCACCTCTGTTGGACTTGCAGTTGTTTCTGATAATCAGATTTTGTGGTCAGCCACAGGGTCAGACAGAGAGACACTATTAGCATCTGATTTGCCTCATGCACTGTGCTGAGCAGAAGGAGAGGAAGCAGCGAAGCGTGTCACAGCAGAAACAGAGACTCACATCTCAAGAAGTCATCCCTGTACTGAGGTTCCTGGACGGGTATGGCCTTGTACATCACGGCCTCTTCACCTGTTGAAGCACACGTGAGAAAAGGAACAGAAAACATTTCACTTAGTCGAGGTCATTTCTGTCTGTGGTTGAGAACCAATGGCTTGACAGTCCTCAGCAGGGTTAAACATTTAACCAGGCTGCAACTGAGTGGCCCAAGAATGGCCTCTGATTAAAATGATGTGCAAACAAACAGGACAGAAAATTGCCAGGAAGGTCTGACTTTCTAATAGGGTCAGTTCGGTTCGTAGTATATCGTCTGGTTAATGGGTCATCCGGAACATTTTTTATCAACGCGCTACGTCGGGTAGAACATTTTGTTGACTCACTTTTAATTGCCCGTTTCTTTTTGGGCTCATCCAGTTGACAGAAGGTCATTTTGTTCACTGCAAAATGAAAAGAATAAGAAGTTAGGCTCAGGGTTGAGTTAGGCAGGACTGTTGAGTGAAACTTGGAGGACTTGACTCTGTCTCACCTGTTGTGGCGACCTTCACCAGCTCGTCATTGCTGAATTCATTCAGGTGCTGCTTCATCTCGGAGACCGCCTTGGTCACAGAGCCGAAGGTGAAGTAGGGATTTACGGAGACTGAAGGCAACTCCTCAGCCTCTGTCTGGGCTATCAGCATGTGGTAACTCTACAAACCAAAATCGGCATCACTTTTGACATCAACTTGGGTCAGGGGTGGTTTAAGTACTTCTTTGGTGTTCTTGTTTTCTACCTGGATGAAGTGGATGTGGTCCTCAGTGCGGGACAGCTGGGTGATCTGAGTGTCTCTGTTCTTCAAGTCGGCGATCTCGTGATTCAAACGCTCCATGTGGCCCTCTGCATTGTTGAGTGCAGCTCTCTTGTTTGACGATATCAGCTTGGCCATCTCCTGCTGCATCCTCTCTATGGAGCGCATCATGTCACTAAACATCTTCTCGCATTCCTGGAGCGCTCTCTGGGCCGAGTTCTACAGCGGGAGGCAGGAGGGGTTTTGTCATATAAATCATCTTTTTTTTCCCCCACAGTAAGCTGTCAGACGCTGTCATCACTATGTTCAGATGGAATGCTGTCAGGGGTGGCTGATTCAATGTTCCCGTCATTGTTTAGTGGTTAGTCTGGTCTTATCTGTCTGATAGATGATAGGGGTTACGAACCTTGAGTGAGTCCACAGCTTGTTTCAGCTCCTCCATCTGCTTGAGACGGTCATGAATCTTTTCCTGGATCTCAGCCTGAGTGGCGCCCAGACGTTGCTAAAAATTTAAACGAGAGAAATTGGAAATAATTATGAGCACAGTGCCACAAATGAGCTGCTAAGTCACAAATGCTAGACTTGCTGTTGCATGGTACGGCTCTGAGCTGATTCTGGAAACTCTTTGTGACCAATAGATAGTTTCAATACAGGAGTCTTGCTGTTTTTTCCGTCTGTTTAATCTGATTCATATTCTGCTCAACCTTGCATTACGCAGTGACTATTGTCCAAATTTGCACAAGTCTACATTATTAAATGCTTTGTCTTTAAGCAGAGTATGTTGTTGGATTATCAAGATATGAAAAA